GCCTCTGCAGGAGTTGCTGGGTGTTCAGTGTGCGTGTGGGTGGGGGCACCCAGGGGTGCACCAGCAGCCCCCGACCGGTTAAAGGAGGGGAGTGCGGGCTGCATCCTGGAAATGGAAGGCAGAGGAGGAGGACAGTTTGGGAAGCACCTGCAGTGAGGAGCTGCCTGCTAGTGATTCAGCAATATAGGATCTCCAGAGGTAGATCAAGGTCTTCTGCTGACCACGGGGTAAATACTGCGGTCCCTCATACCAGACAAAACTCTTCCATGGGTTGTATATATTGATTGCCTTCATATCAACAGAAGTCATAGATGAACAACACAGGGCAAAATTTGACCATATGATCCTGTGTTCTTGGTTATGGGGTTTTTTTGCTGTTGTCTCCTACGGGCACTGTAATTAGTTTTAATCTCAAACTTGTGCTTGCAGTGTACTACAGCACATGTTCTCACTCCATATCAACAGACTCCCTCTGCTGGAAAATGGCTATATATGTTATCCAGCCATTTAATTACGATAAGTGAAATAACTTGTAAACAATGTATTTTGTAGCAAATGTGTAATCTTTATTTACACTGTCCATAGAATTGTAAAAATATTTTGACCTCTTCCCTAAACACCAGCATGTTTCTATGACACACACAAGCAGAAGTTAGGAGTTAGTTCTTGTCTTCAAAGTTTGTGTCCGAACTGTTTAAAAAGCTACAACACTTACAGTAAACTTCTAATGCATTAATCTACTGAGTAAAGTTTTGTTTTCTTTCTTCTTTTGTAACTGAAATTAAGCTTTGAATATTTCCCCTCTGAAGTCCCAAAGGACCCTCTCTTCTTGACAACTTCATCAAGGATGACAAGAGTCTGACACTGACTTTACAGAAGCACCTGAACATGACATGTTGGACAGGTTGGTTTCTTTAGCAGCCACTTTTGAATACACTGTTAAAAGCAAATGGAAAAGAGTGCTAACAAACAGGATTTTAATGCAGGAATTCCTGTTATTTCCCAGGAATTTCAAGAGGTGTAGCTGATATATTCCCTTAAGAATTTAACAACCCTGGTACAAAACATGATGATGATACTGAGGATTCTCCCACCTTCTATGTAGCATCTGGTAATGTAGGATTACTGGAGCAGCTTCAACACACAGGTGTATCTCTTTCAGTCATCAGCATTCAAGGTTTAGTCAAGGTCTGGAAATTTTTATATATAAACCCCTTCCTCTAATCTCTACATGGCAAGTAACATAAAATAAGGCTCTGGAAGTTTGTCATGACACCTCTTTGTGAAAGCTGTGCATGCAGTGAAGTTCTGTGCTGCTGCTGTCAGTCCCCAAGTCATCATGACAAATAAAACATGGATCCAAATCTTCCTCCTTCAAGTGAAAGGAAATTTTTCTCAGTCTTAAACAACCTTAACTCAGAATTGCTTTTGATTAGGTAATCAAATTGTAATGAGTACCCTGAATGAGTGATGAACATTATGGTTGCTGCTCCTTGACCCTATAGTTGAGACATGGATCATGCTACTGTGGGACTACATTTGTTCCATGCAAAAGGCATTAAGGGAATGGAAAGTTTGTTGTTTGGAGTAGTGTCATCTCCAGCTGTGGGTAGGTGGAACTTGGCACAATGGAGAAGTAGTTAATGAAAATTTTTTTGCATCTCAAATTCTGGGCTAACCTGTGATTTCCACTCCTACACAGGTGAGAGCCACCCAAAGTGACTTTGTTCTCCCTGAGGACCTTTTATTGCTGCTGGGACTGTCAGCACAAAGGAATGGCCTAACCGTTCCTCTCTCCCAGGCATAAACTTCTGCTAGCTGTGGGAAGGTTAATCTAAAATCAATATCTCTGCTTTATGACAGCCAAAATTCTCTGTATAGGAGTCTTCACAGAGTAGACCCACTAAATTTAAAATGTTTATGCAAGACATTTAAGATGTATTTTGTGCGTATAGGAAGAGCAGAATATCAGCTGAGATCCAGGACCCAAAAAGGTCCAGGAAGGGTTGCTTTTCAAAGGGCCAAAACTAACATCCAACTCATATAATAGGATATGGTTGCAGAGAAGTCCAGGAGAACAGTGTCCATGAATCCTTCTGTTCAAGCTTTGGAGCAAAAAGAGAGTTCCTTTTTGTTATTTTAGTATCAGGAATAGGCCTAACTCCCAGTCTGAGGAGTCTCTGTACAGGACTCCATCAGCTTTTTGCTGAAAATCCATATATAACTGTCACAAGTTTTGGTGTGTCTTCTCAATACAGCAACTACTCTATTAATCAGTTTAGAAGTTGCATGAACTGAAGCATTTTGACAAATGTATAAGAAGGACAGTAACACATCAAATATGACAGAATATTAGTGTTTGTTGCTCATTTTCTCACTTTTTTCTCATATTTTCTGTCTGGCCTCAGAGACAAAACACAGCTGAGAAAAATGATCTTTTTCCAAAGTAGAGTAGAGCCTGGGTGAATAAGCTCCTCCTAATAAGAGAACTATCATCTGTAAATCCAATCTAAAATAACAGAGCAAATGAAAATCAACACCCTACAAGCAATGTTTTCTATGATGAATGGGTTTATTTTAGCATTTGTTCATACACAGTTACCTAAATCTCTGGCACAACAACCGCAGGCAGGTCATTATCTATGAAGTTGGTTGGATTTTGATATTCACTTCTCTCGTTGAATGACTAGATTTTGGCTGCACTATTGTTCTGGACACATTTCAGGACCTGTTTGTTTTCAGTGGTTTTGGCAGATGTCTGTATAAACTCACAGTCCCATGATTATGATTCATTTCTCTGTGAATAATTTTGATTATCAGGTTTGATTATATCTCTATGTGATTTTATACTATTCATATGTACAATGAATGCACTCAGAGCCAGGGCTGTGTTTAACCAAATGCCTTCTTTTGTGCTAAAGAACAAAAACGCACAGATGAACATTTTCATTTTTTCATATATAATATTAGGTTTCTTTTAAGATGGGTATTATATTCTTATTAAGTTATACACCATGGTTGTGTTTTATTAATTTATGCATTTAAATATTTCCCTTTTTTTTTTTCCTAGAAAGGATTGTTGCAAGCATAAACATAAATATAGCTATTGCTTCATTTTGCCTTTGTGGGGTCTGGCATTTTATATACAAATATGTGATATGTTAGCAAGTACCCAAAATCTAATCCATCCTCAAAACCATGCTGCAATTAAACAATACCTCAGAAGCATGAAAACATAAATATTTTGCTTTTGGAATGCCCAGCTAAAAGATCAGGTAACCACACTTCATGTTCTCTTCTTAGCGCTCTCAGAAAACACTGGGGCATAACTGGACCTTTCTCCTGAAACGCTTGAAATGCACCCATGCCCTAACTTCCCACGGGAGCACTTTCTAATTAACCTGAAGTGCTGGGAAGGATCCACTGAGACGAGTGTTTTACCAGAGCGTGGCCTCCCACCCGTGAGCCACGGCAAGTCTGACACGTCCTTCACAGGCCTCCGAGTCACATCAGCTTTCAACAGCCAGCCGGCAGTGGGAGCGCCAGCCTACTTCTGCAGCCCGCTGGTTCCCCTCTGTTGTAAAACTGTTTCAGGTTTTCAACATGACCTGTTAATGAGCATTTTGGAAAAGATACTTTTTGGTCCCTTCCTCTTTGCTTCACCCTAACTGACCTCCTTCGTGTCCAACGTTTGGACTCTGATGCAACTTGTAGCCATACAGCTCTTGGAAAGAGTAGAAAGAGCAAACAGTGTTTGCCTAGGAACTGGTGTGTGTGCAGAAGACACCCACAGCCGGCCCAGCTGCTCTGGGAATTGGGGATGGGAACCCTAAGGCAGCGACTATTTTTTATGTCAGTCACAACAAACTAGTGACCCACTGTGAAAATTAAAATCGTCTGGAGTCTTTCTGACTGCTTGTCTATCCCAATAACACTTTCTGTGGAAACAGAAATATCAGCCATGCCATAAATATCAGCCATGCCATTGCAATCCGATTCCTCTTTGGATGATCACCATCCTTCCCAAACACCTGATTCGATATGTAATAATTGTTAATTTATGTGGAGAGTGGAAGGTGTTCCTGCCCATGGCAGGGGGATTGGAACTAGCTGATCTTTAAGGCCTCTTCCAACCCAAACCATTCTATGATTTATGATTCATGATTCATTCTCTAATGCAAGTTTCAGTCTTTCTAAGTAATATTATTGTATCAGACTATGTTGGACTAAACTGGAAAGGGCTGTTGGTCCGATCAGGCATGATACAAATCAAGAGAAAACACTTCTGAGTAAACATTTTTTAGTGATTTAAGGATGGCAGTGTTGAGGACATTATTTGAAAGCTTCAATTTCCAGAGTCACACAACAGGGCTGACAGGCCTGTTCAGAAAGGACATAAACACTTGCAAACTCTCCCATCTGAGAGATGGGGTTTAGTGACAAGCACGGGAGCTGTCTGCAGGCAGAGCTGCTCGGCTGCCTCAGTGGCAGTGGGGCTTGCCTGTTCTTTTGTGGGGATGGTAAACAGCAAGTCCGAGCCAGGCAGACACGTGGTTTCTATTTCAGCTCTTCTTGATGTTTTCTTTTCATCATGCGTGGTGTACAACCAGCATGTTAGTCTCACGAAGACAAGATTTTTGCAAATTCTGCTGTGATACTGCTGGGCCTGTTGAATTAACCTGGCTGGAAAACACGGTGAAGAGGCTGATGCTCTGAAATCCAGGCAAAGCTGGTGCAGCCACAGCATTCAGCTCTCACAAGATGTGAGTGCAGGCTGCTACGTGAAAAGCCATATGTAAGAGGTTTTATCTGAGGAACTCAGGCATGGCTGGCCATGTTCCTTTCTGTCCACATCTACTGTAATGCAATCTTCAAATTAAGGCCATAAAAGGAAAGCCATCTACATGGGAGTTTTGGCTGACAGAACTTCATGAAAATTCAGTGTGGATTGGGGAGGAAAGGAACTATACATAAGAACAATATTTTTCAGTCATATTTATTAGTTTATAATATATGTTACCAGGCAAGAAGCAATTTACAAGCATCAGCAAGGGTTCAATTTTTTTCTTAGATATCCCCAAATCCCTATTTAAAAAGAAAACCAATCCTTTAATGGAGATGTGTTACAAAGTTTTAAGGATGCCCTAAGCTTTTAAAAGGTTGAACATTCAAAATTAAGGCTCTAAAGTAAAATAATATGATCTATGTTAATTACAGAAAATCACAGGAAGAATACCCAGCAGACTTTGACTTCTGATCCTTACTTCATTAGTCTTCACTCTTCTCTAATTGTATTATCCAAAGCAGGCTTTCTCTATGCTAGGCCTGGGGAAATTATTCCCAAAGAGGGCAGGGTTATTCTCTCCAGGGAAGACTTACGTGTTGAAGAAGGAGGTGTGGAGGTGTTGTGTGGGTGTGTATGTGTTTATGAGCATGTGGAGGTAGATTTCGTCTGCATAGAAGAAAATCTTACTTATAGTTGGTGAGATTTATGTCTGACTTCAGGAGATCTTCAGCCAGAGGAAACAGTTTTTCCTAAGTCCTGTTTACTATAGACAGAGCCAGTTCCCATTCCCTTGGTTCAGCCCTAGTTCTAGAAAAGGGAAAAAGGGAAAAAGGGTTGCTATGTTTCACCCTGAATGTGTGGCAACCCTTTTAAGATATTATGAGAGGTAGAACACCTCTGTTTTTACTGGAGAGGTTTCAGCAAGTCTCAAATTTTGATGAGGCAAAACGAGAGATGTAGCAGAAGAGGTTGGTACCTACGAGGCAGGGCTATGAAGTAGTAAATGGGAAGGAGGAAGGCCACAAAAGAAGCAGGATTATGAGGTTACAGTTGGGAGAAAGGACTATTTGTGTGACTGGGGAAATGGGACTGAGGACATCCGAGAGGGGCTAGGGGATGCCAGAGAAACAAGAGTTGTATTGCACAGTGATAGGGAGAGCAGAGAGAAGTAAGCCATCAGGAAAGTGTAGAAGAGGCCATGTGGGCTTCTCTTTGATTACTTCCATAAATTTGGAGTTGGGAGACTGTCAAAACAAAAAAGATACCTGCTTCCAAGACAAATCTAAGTGAATGTCAGGACCAGGAATCAGGTGGCTGCTTATGTGTACTTTTTCCTTCCCAAACCTACCAATAAGCCTATTTTAAATTAAAACAGAAACATAAGGCTTTGGATGACTCTTGTATGGCTCTGTAATTACATGCTCTCGTCTTAAATGAACACAGCCACCACTGTCCTGCCGCAATGCTAAATTTTCCTGAAAGCCTCTCATGGTAGTTAATTGCTAACTCGGGTCTTGCTACAGATACACTCCTATGACAAGGGTCACATTTTTAACAGAAAAAGTAAAGACAGGAAGGTAGTAACATGGTGTCAATGATGCAGTGGAATTTAACTTTTATTTTACAGGTTAGGGTTTATTCTAGGCCTCTTCTAGTCATAACAAAACAAAAATGCTCCCTCTGCTCTTCAGGGGGATTGTTAAAATTTGTTATTCATTAAAATTCATCACTCAACACATTCTAGCTGGCTGTGTATAAGTATCCTTTCTCAATGTTTGCTTGGGATGGCAACTGTTCATTGTGTTTTGCAGGTACAACTTCCGAACCTTCATCTTCTTCCTGCTCTCTTCTTGGCTCCGATTTCTCTCCCATTCTCTTGTGAGCCTTGCTTTTTCTCAAATGCAATCTTTCTCTTCTCTCCTTCATACCTTCAGGTTGCTAAAAGGCAAGAAAAAAGCAGCAGGGAATTAAAAGCAGCTCCCACACAAACAAAAAACCTCGTTATTTTATTTTGCTAGTAATGTATAATAAAATATTCCAGTCACCTACCTCAGCAAGATCCGCTTTAACATGACAGGCTTAAATTCAAGGCCCCAGCCAGTCACCCTAAAACTCATCAAGAGGCAACATGTTTTGGATTATACTCTGTGTATGGTAGAAGGGTCACCTGCCTGCAGGACTTGAGGGGGAGAGGAGGGAAAAAGGGAGGGACTCTGAGAATTCAGCCCAGACTCCATATTTCCGTCCTTTCACATGCTCCATCTTTATATGCCCGAAGGCTCTTCAGTGCTAGCTTCAAAGATCTCACTGAAAACAAGTGCTGAAGATCATAAAGTATCCTCAAAGCCACGTTTATAAAACAAAAGCAAAATGCAGGGAAGGAGATGAAATAGGATTAACTTTCCCCCACTTTTCTTTTAACTTGTGCCGTAATGATGGTTTGAATTGCACCCACAGAGCTCTGAAAGCAAAAAACCACTCCATTTGGATATACAAGTTTAAGCCCACTCCCAAAGTTCCTTTCAGGTCTCTAACACCTATTGCTTGTTTCTTTGAGATTCTCAGATCCTTCACATCTCCCAGACTTCAGTGGTGACCGAGGGAATGACAACAATTTGGTCTACATATATAGATTAAAATACAGCCCAGCACACCTCACTGTAGATTACAGAAGGGTACCAGAATCCATGTTTTAACTGGAACTAAAGCTGTATTTAGTGCATTATGCTCACTATACCTATCATACAATCTTTACACACTCACAAACTTTCTAGGGGTAGGCACTTTTGAGAAATGATAAATGATAACCCAGACAACCACTGGTGAGGCTTGGCACATAAGGCAATATGAAGTTCCAAATGAAATAAATTGAGTAGTTCCTAAAGGGGAAAAAGAAGATTAGAGAATGCACTTAAAATCTTAACAATGGCATAACAGAGTTGTCATCACCATAATTCTGCATATTCTTAGAGGACTGGGCACACAAGGAATATAATTGTGGGACTGACCATGTAATGATGCTGGTTATTGAAAAGAGATTTTTTTTCTCTTGTTGCTGCACAGATGATCTGCAAGGAGAGCTGAAAATTATTTCTCCATACAACCTGTCAGCGTCAACAAACTGAAAAAAAAAAAAAAAAAAGATACTTCCTTCTGTTATTATTTGGTGCCAATGTCAAGTATTATTCAAGCACAGCTTTTTCAATAGGTTGACTGAATTTGATAGTGTTCTTCCAATACCGAAAAGTGCACTGGAGTTTATTACCCTTCCTTCCATTGTATGATACACCAGATATTATGTATCATAATAATAGAAATGTGTTGAAGTGCCATAAACACAAGGTTGTTATTGGCTACTTCATCAACACAAACCATTCATAAAATGCTCATGCCTCAGGACAAAATGATGGGAAGAAGAAAAGGATTAAATGGGGGGAGAATCCCCTGCTGGCTGCATGCCCTTACAGTGAAAATATGCTCAGCCACTTAAAGCAATGACTGCTGCTGCAGCTGTGTGTTGACACTGAAGAAAGCAGATGGTTGGAGTCTCAAGGGGTAAAAGAGAACCCTCTCATACACCACCATGTCTGGCAGTCTTACAGACAGCACCGTGTATGGTTAAACCAGGGCAGCAGCAGTGAGAAAGAGAGCTGGGTCTTATGGCAAAAGTAATGTAAACGTGGTTTTATATTGTCACATTCTGTTGGCACAGCTGTAGAAACCTCTGAACCAGTGTGGTGTCTCATTTTGAAGATATAAATGTTTTAATAAGTCTAGATGGTAACACTATATCAAGAATTCTCATATTAATGATACTACGACTTTAACCTTGCTTGCACTACTGTAAGGACCATATAATTTGAGAAATTCTAATTAAAGTTTACTTCTGCTCTTCCCCTAACAAAGCCACAGCAATTATACCAGGGATAAAGCTGGTCTGCTTGTTGTTGGGTTCATTTTTTTTCTTCTGAAGTGATCTTAAGTTGGTTGTTACCTACCAAAGAAACTGAGCGTTTGCTTTTGAGATGCAAGTGCTTTTCAAAGGACTCTGCAAACTCCCGGATGGAGTTTGATCTTGTTTCTGGGCTGTCTGCTGAAGGTGTTCTGTTTGCCTTCCTGTGGCAGTGGCATTTGACATCTTGGTCTTCTTGAAATTCCTTGGAGCCCTTGAGATGGCCTGAAGATGAGCCTTTGGTTGAAGCATGAAGTCGCGTTGTACGGAGGGAGGAAAGCCTGGCCTGAAAAACAAGAGATCTCTGTTGAGTACTGAATATTAAAGCAGAGCACACAGGTCAGATTCTATCTGCCACAGAGTGCTCCCCAAACAACGGTGTAAATGAAGGACCTTGCCCAGACTCCTGTATCTTTCCTTTTAAGTGTAGGAGAATCACACTGTCAAGAGTTTGTTTTCCAGAGGCAGCAGCAGAAATTGTTTTTATTCCTGTTTTTGAGTATCTAGGTTTTGGCACCCAAATGAGCATTTCAAATGTAACGGGTGCTGAGTCATCTTAATGCTCACTGACACTAAAAGAAATTGGGGCCCTTCACAACCTCAAAAACTCAGGCCTCCCATCTGGTGGCATGTTCTAGGCAGGACTCTCAAAAAGCAAAGACCCAGCCTCTTGTGGCCAGATGAACCAGATACAGGGTTTAACCCACAGGTGCTTCAGGTCTTATCAGATGTTGGAGTTCACCTGAGTGTGACAGTGACCATTTCCAGCCCAGTTGTGTCAAATTTTCAGCATGGCCTACATGCAAACAAGATGCTGTATCGTCCAGGTCTGAATTTTATGCTTGTTTCTTGAGCACGTTTGTCCTGAACTGATGAGGGAGCACTTTCAGGGCACTGACAGACACATCCCTACCGGAGAAATGGTAAGAAACAGGTTTCCTACAATTACACTTGTAGGGCTAAAATGAGGAGGGAGTAGATAGTTGTTTAGTTTCCATGTGGTTCAATTTTCCCGGGCCTGACCTGCAGATAAAAGCTATTGATCTACATCAGCTGTGTTTAATTGATTGCCTGTAAAGAAGATTAAACTGATACAGAACTGCTGTGTCCTGTGGAGTCATGTATTGGTGGTTTTAGAAACAGACCTGTAGAAGAGATGGGTGAGAATGCCACTATTTAGAGCCATGTCCTAAACCCTGCCAGCTGATGATGGTTTTCAGGGTGAATAGCTGACCACTGTTAAGATGCAGGTAGTGAAAATTGTAAGAGAGAGATGGGAGGTATCAAAAATGAGACCCCCTGCAGGTGTCAGGTTAGGGCACTCCGGGCAGGCAGGTGCTGCATATATGTTTGAATGTATATTTTGTATAGGCCTGGTGCTAAGCCTTCAGCTACTGAGTAACCCTGAGAAGTTCTGCGGGCTTCAGAGGAGCTGTGGTTGTTTGTAACAACTGAAGGTCTATCCCATGGATCCCAAAATGCTTTATAAAAAAATCCAGGAGAAAACCCTATACTCAGAGTAGTGTTTGTTGGGGGTGGGTTGGCTGTGTTTGTTTTGTTTTTTTAACAATCAACAGTGGAGAGCTAAACCAACTTGGCATAGTGGCCACATGAATCTACAAATCTTGGATTGCAAGGGAAACACCTCCTGTATACATTTCCATTTGCTCTGGCGCAGGTGCTATTATAAATGTATCACCACAACAGATACCTATGCAGTCTTTCTCTGAATAGTGAGGCTGTGTATTCATATGGTTGTGACTACATCATATTAGACAGGCTTGATGAGAGGTGCTAAAACTAATAAATCTTACACCTGACCAAAGCACCTACTACTGAAGGGTTTTCAGATCGTACAGTACTGGTTCAATTTATTTTCCAGACACAAGCTTAGTTCAGTAACTAATATCATGGACTGCCACTGAGAGCAGTGGTAATGATTTCTGGCATACTATTTTTGCTTTAGTTTCAAACCAATCAATACAGCTGTAATTTCTGTAAGGTCATATTGTATTGTTATTTTAAAAAGCATCAAAGCAATCATATACTGCCTAAGGGATAAGAGTACACATGCCATGTCAAGCTCAACAAGTTAAATGTCTTCTGTGTCATTTTAATGGCACCAACATATCTTGCTTCCTGGAAATAAAAATTGTCTCACACTAAAAATCACTGGTATTTTTTTCTTAGAGGGTTTGGGCAAAAAACCAGGAGGACAGCTGAAATAAGGGATGGTATTCTAACAATCCTGTTTTGCAATGCTTGTAAATACTTTATTTTACTAGGACATTGTTTTTTAATTTCCCTTCACAGATAGAATTACAGTTAAGCCCCTAGTAAGAAGACTGCAGTTCACATACTGACATGGCAGCAACTGTCCAGACAAGGGACAGGCCTTCCCCTGAAATGCATATCTACCTCAGTGGACTGAGAGTAAAGCTACACATGCATATCTGTGCTATCATATTACCATGACTGTGTCACCTCTCACAGTGGCTTTGCATGATACATACCACCGTAGCTAGGAGAACAGCATGCTCGTGCATGTCAGCATGTTGCTATCTTATGGACACAGCCTTATAGAGGACAAGAGCCTTAACACAACTGCTCAAGCATGAACATTTCACGGCTTATAACTAGCACATTACATTAGTCTTCTTTTATTTAACATTGACTCTGTGGAGAACCGAGAGTCATAAAATGAAGCTCAGTGATGAAGCAGATCTGGCACTGACTTTAGATAAAATCCATGTGGCTTTCTTCCCGTTTCTTAGACTTAATACATGCATTTAATACATGTTTGGTGCCAAACTGATTGCTTGGTAACACTGTAAATAAGAAGGGCTGAAGACTGCTTTAATTTATGCTTCTGCTCCTGAAGTCTCAGCAGCCGCTGGCAGCAGAGATTGCCTCTGTATCTGCGCACTCCTGTCCACCCACTGCCGCTGCCGTCCCTTGCCAAAGGTCTCTGAGCACAGCTCCGTACCTGCTCCCGTCCTTGCCCCAGCAGCTGCCTCCTGCCTACATCTAGTGCCTCTTCAGCGAACTCCCCGGGGCCTCTGGCTCCTGGGATCTGACCTTCAGTAGTTCTTAAACTGGAGAAGTGTGGAGGCGGTGAAACAAGGGAAGAGGCATGGGAAGGAAGAATGATAAATGCTCCCCTATAACAAAATGGGGATTTTTTGCCAGTGCTGGGAAAGCCAGCAGCACCGAGCATGTTCTCAGGGGTTGTTTCTCACTCCCCTGAGTACTCCCTTTTCCTGCTTGAGCCTTTGTGTAAAGGCTAGTCATGCTCAGTGTATCTATTTACACAACAGCTACTCTTTTGCTAATTGCTCATCTAAAACACACAAAAAGTACACGCAAAAAAAAACCTTCACAAAATTGATGTCAACATAATTTGCCTATTCTCTTTCTCAATTTCTGTTGGAGACAAGATAATTGATTCCATCTTTTGGCCTTGGTCTGAGGGCTTGCACAGCTGTCAGTAAGAAAATTAATCTTCAGTGTGTGAGCATGAGTGTTCATTGTTTGCTGCAGTTTACACAATAACCCAGTATTTTAGGGATATTTTGGAACATCTGACATTCAGATGCTCTCCTACAGCTTCCTCTCCTTCCAAGAAGCTTATAGCCAAGCATATATTCCTCAAAAATGTTTTGGCCTAGGCTCCAAATGATCTCTAGTAACAATATTGTGGTAGATGTTCAGCCTGACTTTGCTTTAAATGAAATGTTAGTGACTTCAACAGCAGTCAGTTGTTCTGCTCCCACTCTCAGCTGTTTCTTATCAGATTTTCTTCTGTGAGCAGCAATGTCTACTTGAAAATGGATGTATTTATAGGGTTGTAAAACTCTTATCACTGCTCCTTTGCCTCCTATCTTTTCCCCACAACAAAGTGTCTGGGAGGTAAGAAACTGTTCTGAACCAAAACGATGGAGGATAACTAGAATGTGTCAGGAAAATAGTAGCTGGAGACTTTAAAAAGGGTATCACAGTTAATGTGTCTAAAGTGTGCCAGGGGAACAAGCTAACTAAAGGAAATGGAAACAGATGACTTAGCTGACCTCAGGCAGTTTTCAAATTCAGTGTTGGCCCACAGTAACATGTAAAACTCTAATGCTTTTCAGGGGAGTAGAGTTGCAAGTTTTAGCCTGTCTTGCCAGTGACCCAGTGAAGGATGAATATAATTTTGTGTTCCCCTCTGAAAAATGGGAATGACAATAGCAAAAGCATTTTGTGAAGCTCATCTCAGTAATGTTTGTGAGGTATACTCAGATATAGGGGAAAAAAATAATGAAAATTGTTGTTAGTTTGGGAGTTATTCTACAAAGCCTTACCCATATTTCTGGGGGGCTCTACCATGATAGGATGCCACAGGACTTTACCATTGTGTTTGAGGTGAGAGCAGTGGCTTGAATGTCTTTCTAAAGCACAAGAAAAACTGGAAAGACAAACATACCAATTTGGAGCTGAAAGCGATTTCCATTGTTATTCAAAACCATCTTTTGTGCTATACTGCTAGCATTTTGCTATGCAACACCAAAACGCTCCTGGTGCAGATGCAGTTCACGTGGGCAGGACTGCAGTATTGCTGATGCACCCTATACCAGCGCTGGGTACGAGACACAGTGTGCTGGCAGTGCTGTTTTGGCAGTACCATTGTATCTGCACAAGGAACTTTTGCCAACAGCTGTGTCAGTCAGAACCTGCTGACTTGATTTTCACCCAGACAACAGTTATCTCCATTTGCAATGCTGAGACGAAAGAAAGGGTACACTGTGAGCTGCTGTGGAAGTATTAACTTATAGAAGAGATGCAGTCTAGTCTCAGTTATTATTCCTCCTGGTTAATAGCACTGTTCTGATAAAATGAAGACAATATTTCACTGATAAGTGTTTTGAATCTTACAGTAGTTATAATTTGTAATAATGAATCTTACAGTAGTCATAATTTGTAGTAAATGTAAAAAAAACACATCCAGGTGCAATAGCAAGTTGTTGCTCTCAACAAGGAGGTGCTTGTTTTGGAGGTATTTCTAAGGAATTTTTAGTGTCCATTTGTTTAACATCTAGATTTGGTTTAAGACAACATGTTTTAGTGCTCTTTACTAGCAGCTAGTCAGAGATTTCCAAATACAAAAGTTTAATCTCAGAATTTATCCCTGAATCATAAAATCCCCAAACAAATCTTCTCTTCTCATTCTTCCAGTCAATTTCTGGCACTGAGAAATAAAGCAGTTGAAATTTATATCTCTTGTATAATACTTCTGGAGCAATACAAATTTCTGTGGATCATTAATGTAAATGCCAGACATAATTAAGTGTACAGGATAACTTTAGTTCTTTGAACAGTAATGTCAAAAGTCAGGGTCTTCTCTTTCTGTTAGCTAACTTAATCCAAGTTCTAGGTATGGATTCAGGGATGCAACTATAGCAAAGTATTTTAATAGCTATTGGCTAAGCATTTAAATAGCTTTTGAACAAACTGAATATAAGAATATGCTTCAAATGAAACATATGAAACCATTCATAACACACAAATACACATAAAAATGTGTTCAGCAGCTTGCTGAATGGAAGATGGTTTAAAGTACATGTTTTCACTTCAGGCTTAAAGAAATCACATATGCGTAGATATCTGAAGGACAAAATTAAAATACAGTAAAAATAATTTTAAAAAAACCCCAAAACATTAATAAGCATTCTGTTTTCAGGCATTCTGATGGAATCCACCAGCAAAGCTCTAGCTCAGAGTCAGTCTTGCAATCTGTGACCAAGGTGAAATATAACTGTAAGTAACAGATGTGGCTGATCAGTTGAAAACCAATGAATGAAGGTTACTTCCCCAGCCTGTCCATGAATTCAAAGAGGGGGGGAGGTGGTTTTGACCTGTTTGTTTTTTCTTAGCCAAGTTTTTTGAAAACGAAAATTCCCACAGCTTAGAACGTGGCAGCTCCAGTGGAGAACTTGCAAGGTGAAAATAAAATACAGCTTGGTAGAAGAAAAAAAAAGTTTGGAAAATATTAGCTGTTTCTCCCCAGTATAATAGCATTTGCCTTGTTGTAGCCATAATGATCTAAGAACATAAGTGAAAAATTATTTGTAAGGAAATATAGTATCTTCGGTAAGCCAGTTGATGTAGTTGGAAAAAAAGAGGCAGGTTTGGACCACCTAAACATTATTTTTAGGGATGAAATAAAAGCAACAATCTTCAAATAAAGAACAGACTGTGAACAGCTGTTTGCAATTTAACTTCATTTTGATAATCCGTTAGACAGTTGTGAACTGCCTTAAAATCCTGCTTCTGCATGTGAACGCTGCCCCTTTTCCAATTATTTTCTTCGTTTAAGAACAATGAACGTCCTTCTACCTTGAAATCTTACTTCACTGTGCAATAAGCTTTGTTATGTGTTGCATCCTTATTTTCAGAGTCAGATGTTTTAAATCAGGAAGGACTGCATCCCCTAGCTTAAATTAGCAGTTACACCTGCAAACAGCTAAATCCCAGGGAGTAAAATGTGTAACTTCCTGGGGACAGTATAGTTGCAGAATTAGGTTCAAACCCTATGAACACATATGGGGTTATAGAGTTTTACACATGAGAACAGACTCATTAAAGACAGTGTTTATGTACACCAGTTGCCAAAATGTTTTGATCTCTGCCAAGTCATGCTGAGCAGACAAAACAACATTGTAACACACAGTTAGGCAGTTATTCCACCCTTCTCCTTACATTTCTGGTCCTACCATCACTGATCTTGGAGTTTGCCAGTTTTCTTGTATTCCAAAGGCACTGGAGGCCTGACCCTAGCAGGCAGCTAAGTTCAAAAAGCAACTAGCAGGTGCCGGTAGGAACAGAATTTACTTGGCAAGGTGTACCATACTCATCCTCATACATCTCTAGGGCCATGTGCCTGGGGTGGCACTTAACTTTATACATAAACCATGCGCACACACAGAGAAAACCACACACAGCTCTTACCGGAAGGGAGGCTCTCCTTTCACTAAAGGGTCGTGTCTGACGTTTCTTGTGGCCTCTACCCTCCTTCTCATTCTCATCGATCAAGTTGTGGCCCCAGAAGCTGCTCATCCATTTTGCAAAGGAAATATCATCATCCTCTTCATATTCCATGTACAGACACTCCAAACTTGGTGGGGGTCTCCCAACTCAACAAGGAAAAGCAAGCTCAAATGCCACCACCAAGCCAATAGCCTCACACTGTTCTGCCAACAAGAAGCAGTGGAAGAATAGTTTCAACCACTCTTTCTGCACTCCATCCCCCCGAAATCCATCCCACTGCCACCTTGGGCACTGTGTAAACCTAAAGTCAATCCTTCCTCATCTTTTTTCAACAAGGTTTCCTTTAACTTTTCCATTACTGCAATGTCCAATATGATACTGCCGCAGGGGGCTGGTGGGAAGGGAGATGTGTTGGCTACTCCCTGTGTGTTGCTGTTGAGTGCACCAGCTGTCAATAGCAATGGAGAATTGCCCACAGTTACATGCCTGGGAGGTGTGTACACAAACCCAAAGTAGGTTTGTGATTTTGAGAAGCAGAATTGACATATTGATGGTGGTCAGAAACTGGCACAGCTGATTGCAGTGGCCTAACTGGCTCTGTGTGAGGGAGGACAAATGGCCCACTCTTCCCATGCTGCCCTTCCTCCTGACTTCTGTAGTCTCTGCTCTTCCTGTGGTATTCAGGAAACGTGGTCTGTCGAGGTAGAAGGAAGTCCCCCCTGAAGAAAATGCTTGTTCATTTTTTGGCTTATGACAGCCAGGGAGAACTTGCATTAGCTGCTTTTCACCGAAGTCATTTCATCTGCCTTATCAGGGTTATGGGAGGCCCTCCCTCACTCAAAGGCACACAAAGTAAAAATGTGCCCAATTCCTCCTCACCAGCCCTGTGTGCAAGCCATATAGGGCTTGTCTATACCACAAAACAGAACAGGGCTGGGGACTGTTTTCTGGCTCTGAGACACAAGTGGCTAGACTGGTCACACCTATACTACATGGCGCTTGTGCTGTGGGTCTCCTCAGGGCTGTACAGACTGCACTGTGGCTGTAATACTTTGTTGTAATTTTTGTGTCTTTTTTAATTTCAAAATATCTGATACAACATGAAAGCTCTGTCGTGGCCCATAAAACTGATGTTTGTATAATATGAAACTGGATGATGTGTTGCATGCCTTGGGACATGGCAGAAGGACAATCAGGAAGGCTTTGAGGCTGTAGAGCTTGTTGGGATAGAGTTGGAAGAGTGCACAGGAGGAAGAGACCCAAATCTAACTTATTATTGGAAACAGTCCTTGATGTGTGCTAGGTAGCTTGGGTGTTCTTCTGCGGAGATGCTAGTTGGCCTTTGTCAGAAGTATGCCAAAAAGCTTGCCGTCAATTCAGCATTACGGAGAATCAGTGGTCTAGCATTAAACCTTGCTCCTTGTCCCCAACCTATTTAGCAATACAGATGTAGTAACAAAACTCCAGTTTCATTCACGTGGGTGTAGGTGTGAGGTTTAAGTGCAATACCCTGATGTAGGACTCTTCATGATGAATAATAAGGGTGAAGGGACCAACTGGTCATGGGTGCCTATGTGCCCAAGTTTTACCTTATTCAGGGCAGACGAGACTGTGATTAGCACAAGGACCTGGACTACAGGGCTGTGCGGACTGCATATCCTCAGATATTGCATATCAGAGCTTGGAGACACAACCAAATCTGCAGCAGGCCGCTTTCTTGGCAGAGGCACAGATGGTCAGGCATGAAAGGAATACCTGCAACGCAGTACAGTAAAAAGACACCTGAAGCAATAAAAAGGATGTGTAGGCTGATTCTCCAGGTGGGGAAGAACACTCCTGGCCATATTCTGACAGCGTAAGTTTGACTTGTGTCCTTCAGGCTACCCATCTGTACAGGCAAGGTATATCTGAAGGCCTATGCTAGCTCATAGGAAGCATCCCGTGGGTGGAATTCAGGCTGTCCCAGCAGGAAGATGTCACCCTGTTGATTGATATTTTCTACTGTATGGTTCAAGTTTCTTCTTTTCTGACATGTGAGACAGAACTGCAGCCTGTTGTGTGGAGTAAGAAATGCTTCTGCTTCCCTGCAACAGGTGACAAGGAAAAGTGGGAGAGAGGCTGTCCCACAGCTTTGGCAAAGTATGCTTACATAAACAGTAATAATGCATAAATTAAGGGAGACACAGCTCAAGCTGTTTACTACCATGCACTAAGATATATTGACTCACAGTCCAGCAGAGCAAATTTTACTTGGACTCCTGAGGTATTTGCTTTGCAATCTTACTGCCGTTTTTATTTTCAGTCCTTTTCTCCTTCAGTGCCGTGTCTTCACACATATTCCTTCCATTTCCCTCCTGCCTACAATTAAATTTCTAGGTATGAGACGACGAGTGCTGTCCGAGTAAAAAAACGTATCAAAGATTACTCCTCTTCATCCTCAACCCAGTGCTCCAGGGAAATAAAGGGAGAGAAACATAAGCTTCCTCTACCTATAGGTAAGGATGCTAAGTAGGCATAGACATACATATATATAATGCATATACAACATATATAAAATGCCAGTAATGCCTATTATTCTTATGACAGATTCAAATAATGACTCAAAAAAGAAAAATGGCACTTATAACAAAGGCAATTTTGCTTCAAAACATTCTAGTACAAAGCCTTAGAAACTTCGCATCGGTCCTACACGGTTAGCGGTCCAGAAACTCCTTCTGTCCAGAACCGCCCCGTGTCTGAGGCCAGACTCGCGCTTTTCAGGCCCAGGCTGACAGAGCCGGGGAGGGGGGGGTGGGGTGGGGAGAGGCTGCGGTTACACCTCCGCTCCGGCAGGCGGCGCGGCCGGGCAGCGCGCGGAAGTGCCCTCGTGACCCGTGCCCTCCCGGCGCGCCCCGGGTGTCCGGTGACCCCCCCCCCCCCCCCGCCTTCCCCTCGCCTCCCCTCCCCCGGGCGGCGGTGTGAGCGCATCATGGCCGCCTCGAAGCCCGTGGAGGCGGCGGGCGGCGGCGGCGGCGGCACCGGCACCGGGCTCTCCCGATGGCAGCTGGCGCTGGTGCTGGGGGCGCCGATTCTGCTGGGCGCCGGCGCGCTGTACCTGTGGGGGCGGCGGGCGGCCCGCCGCGGCGGGAAGGGCGCGAGCGAGCGGAAGACCCCCGAGGGGCGGGCGAGCCCCGGGCCCTGCGGCGGCGGCGGGCAGCCCGATGGGCCCGGCCACGAGGAGATGGTGAGCGCGCGCGCCGGCCGTTGGCGCGGACCCCTCGCCTCCCTTCCCTTCCCCGCGCGCGCTCGGCGGCCGTTAGTCCCCGCCGCTGTGGGAGCGGGGAGGGAGGGGAGAGAGGCGCCGCTTTTGACGGCCGGGGCGAGTGTCCGTCCCCGGGCGTTAGCCTTCGGGGCTTTTGTCCTCGCCTTGCTGCGGTTGGCAGAACTTTGTTCAGAGCGTGCGTGTGTGTCTGATCCGGTCCTGGTACTGGTGCCCGGGAAAGCACGTTACTGAACGCAGCCTGGCACGAAGTATGCGTTAAGCAGGTGAGTATGGGTCTGGCAGGGTGCTGCCGTCGGGTGAATGTACTTCAGCTTCTGAGGTGTGGAATGGCTATGAGTAATTTGCTTCCAGGAGTAGCGTTTTGAAAAGGAAATCTGCGATCTGTTCTGTGTTACTCAGAGATTCTGGGTACAGCAGAGTGGAAAGAAAACACAAGACCTTTTCAAAATGAAGTGTTTTATATGAAAATACAAAGGCGACTGAGACTTCAGGGTAGTTTGCCTAAATAGATATGCTTCCAAAACTTATATTTATCCTGTTGCAAACAGGAATTTTCAGATAAAACAGTCTATACCAAAGTTGAAGGACAACATGGAAGATCAGAGCCAGATCAGATCCAAGATTCTCTTTTGTATCTGTATGTGGAAAAATGCCTCTAAGATGCACTTTCTGCACATCTGCAGTCACAGATATACCGTGATGGTCACGTTGTATTACTGAGGTGAGGTTATAGTTGACAAGCATATTTAAAGTGATGGATTTGGCAAACTGTTTGGCTTTGATAAGAAAATCCCATTAAGATATCCCTGCAATTCCTTCTCCCATTCTTGTGTGCCACCTGAAATGCTTTGAACTGTCAGACCATGGCTTAAACTTCCTGTCTGAAACGATCAGGAGAGGAAAAAAAAAATCAACTTCAGGAGACTGGAAAAGGTCAGTTTTAACCTTGATCATTTCAGTGATGAAGATTAGTGTTACGTGAGTGGGTGAGCATGTCAGGAACACATGGGAGTGGTGAGGAGGGTGGCAACTTCCATAGCTAGTGAATCACAGGTACCCTCAGGCATTCCTGGAAGCCTAGTGAGCTGCAAAATTTATTATGCTGGAACTGGGGGCAGTTACTTGAGTGCAGTGACTTGTTCCTTCATGGGCAGCAGTACCGACCGAGTAGTGTACAGAGGACACGTTCGGGCTTTGTTTACTGTGGTAACTTTGGCTTGTGGCTGCAAACAGCATCTGACATATTTATGGCAGTGTGCTTGCTACGTGTGAGCTCTGGTTTGCAGGCTACATGTGACCTTTGTGTAGCTGCAGTGACTTTGCTGTTAGTATGTTAACTCTGAGTTTCTTGATTGTATTTCTGAATTACACTATATACTGTTGAGTGGTTCGTAGTCATTCTGTAGTGGTACTTGAAGCAAGCACTTTAAAACATTTAAAACACGTATATAACACTTGATTTAAAATATTGTGTGTCTAGCTCTTTCAGGTAGCTCCACAAATTAAATTACTGGAAAACTTTGTGCATCTAAGAATAAGTGTATGGTTGAGTGGTATGATCCAGAGTTCCTTGAAGAGTATCATTGCTTATACTATAAAGAAATGAGAGATACTACTTAGGAAGGCTGTAGAAGGTATCAAATTTGCTTGAATACATGAGAGAATTGTCTAGCTGATCAAAATACAGCTGCAGCAGGAAAATTAATGTGTCTGCAGGTTCCCTTGACTGCTTTTTGCATGTGGGGAGGATTGCCTTCCTGTTCCTCATATCCAAAGCAGTGATGCCATGTAGATTTCATGTTTCCACACATATGTTAGTAGTTATGGATATTATTGATAGAAGACTCTTGTTTGAAAATGCAACCATTGCAGATGCTTTACTTCTTAACTACTTGCATTGTATTGGTCTGCCTTCCTAATGTGGTTGGGTGTTTTTTTTCAAACTCAGTTGGATTTCAAATATAAATCTGTACAGTGAATAAGAGCCAGTAATTCATTTCACAGTCT